CATCCTACTGGTCTCGTATCCTTGGGCAAATCAGACACAATCCATGTTCCACTCTTTTCTAGTGCAGCAACTTCTTCATTCACAGCTTTTCTCCATTCTGAGTGTGAGAGGGCTTCCTGAATAGAATTCGGAACATTTATGTTGTCAATAGCAGTTACAAATGCATGATAGGGAGGAGATAACCTCTCATATGAAACAAATCGGACAATAGGATGTTGAGTGCAGAGAACATCAGAATCATCTTTCACAGGCGGGGTAAGCTCATAATCACTAGTGTCTATAGATTCCGTACCTGAGTGAGTTTTAGAGGATTGTGGAGCCGGATTAGATTCTTGAACAGCAGCTGGAAGCGGTGTTAGGTTTTCTATTCTTTCAGCAATTCTGTTTCGTATTGTATAGATCTGAAGTTCCTGAAGAGTGGGTTGTGTAGACTGAGGAGATTGAACAGGAGAAGCTGTGGGTTGTGTAGACTGAGGAGGTTGAATAGGAGGTGGAGGAGGGCTTGCGGAGGTCTGACAGTCAGTGAGGGACCCGTGTCAATTGGTAAAGGGACACAGGGCTGTTGTTCACTCTCCCCCTGAATGACAGACCCTTGGTAGTATAATTGATGCTCAAAAAAGGTCACATCCATAGAATTGTAGACCTTTTTAGTTGAAGGACAATAAAACTTGTAGCCTTTCTTGTTTGTCGAATATCCTATGAATATGCATTTGACAGATTTGATGTCTAATTTACTGCAGTGTTGTTTGTGAATATGAACAAAGACGGAGCAACCAAATAGTTTGGTAGGGACAACTGAAGGGAGTGTACATGCATTTGGAAAGGAGCGAAGGAGGACATCAATTGGACTACGGAAACCCAGAATACGAGAGGGCATCCGATTTATGAGGTAGGCAGCTGTCAAAGTTGTTTCGCTCCAATAACATTTAGGGAATGATGTGGTTAACATGAGACAGCAGGCTACCTCCAACAAGTAACGATTTTTCCGCTCGGCAACCCCATTTTGTTGGGGAGTATCAACACATGTGCTAAGGTGAAGGATGCCATGTTGAGTAAGAAAAGAGTAAGAAAAAAAGTTCCTAGGGAGGTGTTGAAAAAATCTCGTGCATTATCTTTTTTGAGAGCCTGGATTGATTTTTATGTCAAATTGAATATCATTTGATAGAATGCACGAAATATTGGTCCTACCTCGAATTTGTCACGCATAAGATAGATCCATGTCACCCGTGTGTAATCATCAATAAAGGACACGAACCATTGCGCCCCAGAAATATTTTTTTTCACGAGGACCTCAGACGTCACTATGGATAAGTCACTATGGATCAG